CAAACCTTCTGCGAGGCCTCCCGAGAAAGCACGTCGTAGCGCTCCTGGAACGGGGTGCGCTTCTCCTCCGGAGGGGCGGCGTCGTCCCCGGCGCAGTCCGCGTCGCTCCTCCGGTAGAGCGGGTAGTGCTGCGCGGGACGGAAGGGGCAGTCGGCGGGCAGCCCGGGCCCCGGCCCCCCGCGCCGCCCCCGCTCACCTGCACGAGGACCGGGGCGGACGCGGGCGGCGGCCGCCCGTCGGCGTCTCCGCACTGGCGCGAGGCGGGACCCTGCGGGCAGAAGTGGGCGTCAGTGCCCGGACCGGCCCGCCGGGCGGCAGCGAGGGCCGGGCTGCGCGGCGCCTACCTCCCGGGAGCAGTTCAGCCTGCGGGAGACCGCGAGCAGCTCCGCTTCCTCCTCGGAGCACAGGGCGCAGCGGTCCCCTTCCAGCGCCACGCTGCTGACCATCACGAAACTGAGGCAGACGGGAGGCAGCAGAGGTCAGGGCCACGCGGGACACGTGTTTCCTTTCCTCGTGTCCCCGGGAAAGACGGCTAAGTCTCCACGGTGTGAAGACAAGCCCAGGACAGCTTTGAGTCCCAGCCAGACCCACTGTGTGTTTCTAAGTGTGAGTCCGTTTTAACAAAAATAGCACAACTGGGAGTTGGGGTCCCCGACGCGGGAAGAGGATTTTTAGCCCGGTGAGAAGTCCCAGGTACAGAGCCTGGGGTCAGGCCGCCTCTGAGCTCGGCTGACAGAAGCTCGCCCGCGGCGCAGGGGCGGGTGTGAGGGTTAAATGAAGTGACGCAGCAGGTGCTGCAGCAGAGCCGGCCACCAGAAAGGACTCAGCGGATGTCAGACACTGTTACGTCATCTAAGTTACGGAGTGAAGCACAGAGAACATGCGCTAGCACAGGCACACTCGGCACGCAGGCAGCGGCAGGGCGCTGATGAGAGCTGCCCGGGTACGGGTGATCCCAGACCAGGACGACGCAAAGTCAGTTACGGTCACCCTCTGCCACCACCTGACCTTAGTCGTAATTTTTATAGACTCGCACTAAATATGCTTTTACTTCCTATGCACACACTGCCTGGGCATGAGGAAGGTGCCTGTCAGTAAAGACGGCCCGAAATTTAACCAATTTCAGAGATAAAGAGCTGAGTTATCAAATGCTCGGAAATATGAAAAGCGTATTTAAGGTTTCTTGAACACCGTGTATAGGGGGAGATACCTCAAACGGCATCTTGTCTGCTGTGGCTCAGGAAGGGAGGCCGCCTGCTACAGCCTGTGCCCTCTAGGTGAGCATCTGTGGAGAACCTGCTGGACGGAGGTGACCTCCCCGCCAGCCCGTGAGCTGGGCAGCCACAAAAAGGACAGGAGGAACAGAAAAGGCTTCCTCTCCCACTCGGCTTCTCCCGCGTCCTAACACACAGACCAGAAGACTCCCGAGGTGGGCACTGCGGCCGCCCAGCGGGGGGGATCTGATGCAGTGGGTTGGGTTCGGGGCTGGGACACTGGTCGGCAGGTCAGGGTGGGCACAGAGCTGCAGACACACCACAGACACACTGGCCACCAAGTCCCAGGACACCATGACTAGGGAACAGCCTTTGCAAAGTGAAATAAGTAACTTCTTATCAAATAAAAGACTCCTTTACATAGTAGGCTGATGGAACATACGCCACCCAGAGACAGCACAGAAAGAAAGAATATCCCCGCAGGGCTGGGCAGTCACAGACTGACTGATTCTCTGTGCTCCTCACGGAAAACCAGGTCTGAGGTTTCCCACCCGTCCGCTCCCATGGTGCCACCAGCCAAGACGGCCTGAGGAGCCACTGAACAGGGATCATAACTGGAGACACAGACCCCATACGGCAGCCACCTCTAAAAACTGAGGTTTCCAGGGACTAAAGGTCTTCATAAAATCGTACAAACAATACTCACTTAACGCCTTTCCAAGAAAACAGCCTTTCAGGGTTGAAAACTTTCTTGAACCGTTTGACTTTGTATGTGGTCATCCTAAATTCAATTGCAAAAAGAAACATTTTTCAGGACAAGCCATTTTAGACCTCCCAGAGTTATCATGAACAGAGAAAGTGACTTTCGGAACGTAAATTTCAGACCAGCATGACCAGTTTGTGGCTCCTGCTGGCCCCAGGCTCTAATCTCAGCATCACCAGTTAATTACTATGGGCCTGGGGCAGGTTACTGAGCTCCCCGGGGCCTCGGTTTCCCACTGGGAAAATGGGAAAATTTTGGTACAATGGGAAAATACCAGGACCATGGTAAAGATTAAAAGAGTCAATATAAGGAAGTAAAGTACTTCGCACAGGCTGACACATTATAAGCACTATAGCCCTATGTAAATGTTAGCTACTAAAGTCTGAGTGGGCCGGGCGCGGTGGCTCACGCCTGCAATCCTAGCACTCTGGGAGGCCCAGGTGGGAGCGTGGCTTGAGCCCAGGAGTTTGAGGTCACAGTGAGCTATGATGACACCACTGCACTCTACCCAGGGTGACAGAGCAAGACTGTCTCAAAAAAAAAAAAAAAAAGTCTGAATGGTCTTGTTTTCTGATTCCTAAAGAAAATAATTGCCTATTAAATCGATATTTCCCAAGGGCACATACAATTCATTCATCCAACAGATGTTTGTTGAGGGCCTACTGTGCGCCAAGATAAAAATCCCTTAAGGAGTTTACATTCCAGAGCTTGTATCTTTTGAGGAAAACAAATTTCCTCAATGCAGCACGAACACGGTTTTAGCAGAACTTTAGCAGGTTTACAATTGCAGTTAACAAGAGCTCCAGGGCGCAGTGCTCTAGCGAGTTACTCACTCATAGTGGAAACCAATGTCATGGTTGCCAGCGACGACCTTCAGCTGCACGTGACTTGGGTGTCTGAACATTTTCTGAAACCGTTCCACGTCATCTGCCCAGGCCTGAGAAAAAAGGATCGCTGCTGAGAGCCAGAGAACCCTCTCCTTCCTGTGGCTAAAAAATGTGGTCCCTGTTTTGATGGGAGAATTCCCCTGTCGAAGCAGATGCCCATAAAGCTAATGTAGAAATTTGAATTTTTCATTCTATATAATACTTCTTTTTCCCAGAGTACAGTTAATACCTTAAATTATTTAATTTGATGCCTGTTAGGTTTATTCCAGGTGAGAACCCCAAAAATATCATAAAGCCGGTGAGACAAAAGCCGCGGGAGTCTGGAGAGTCCAAGGCCATAAATGTAACTTCGACCACAGACGGCTGCAGCCCCTCCGGCATTCCTGTCCCCCTGATAAAGACGAAGCTACGCCCTCCCCTACCTCTGCAGGCGTTGCTCACTCCCACCCCCCAGAAACCCTCTATAAAACCCAAGGCTCTCCCCTCCCTCGGGGTGGACGCTTTTTGGCCTCCGCCCATCTGCACCCAGATGCTCAAAATAAACAGCATTTTGCTACACGTGAGGCTTTGTGTCTCTCTCAGCTCCGGACCTAACAATGCCAATTTCAATTAAATGACATCCTCCCCCATCTTAAAACAACTGGCAATTCCCAAAAATATTTGATTCATAGGCCTATGATTTCAAGACACCTGAAGTCCCCATGGACCCCAGGTTGAGAATTGCTTAGATTTGTGCATCTTATAAGAACAGGCCCTTAGAAAATGTCAAGCAAATTCTTCATGTGTCTCAACCAAAACAAGGACGAGAACATCCTTCAAAATCAACATTCCCCTGTGGCTGCAGTTGTGAGAATAAGAACCAACAAGATGTGTGTGACAAAAACACACACACACAAAAATTATTATAATTAATATTACAAAATTATCCTGATATTTGGCTCTAACTATTAAGGCTTCAGAGTTATGTTAGTATAGTTCTTATTTTTATAAGCTTAAAAATACCAATTGGACAAACACCCTAGGGTGGGTAAAAATAAAAATAAATAAATAAATAAGACTGAAAAGCCCTCTATCCTGGATAGTGATAGGCTAAATCCTGAAAGTTTTAAACATGGCACAACCTAGAGAAATATACTGGATAGAGGGTCCTTCAATACAAAGATTCCACTTTAACAAATAATATTTAAAGTTAGAATAACATAAAATCAGAAAAACAAACTTAGAAAAACATAAAATGTTGCCCTTAATTTGCAAAAGCAACATATATATCCAACCTCATCTTGTAACTAGTTGCTTTTTACATATAACACTTTCATTCTCTCATGTAATTACAGCCTGGATTACAGCCAACATTGCAACTCTGTAAACAGCGAGTTCCTATCAAACCCAAACCAAGGTTTTCTATGTACAGCTTTTGGATTGTCCTGGGAAATGCCAATGAGTATTTAAAAAATATCTCCCAAATAAAATCCCTTCAAAAAACCATTAAGGACTGGACATTTTTAACTAAGCAGCAAGAACACCTCTTTTTTTTCATTCATTCCAAGAATGTAGTAAGCGAAGCACCGTGACAGCTTAGGTGAGAACGGCCTTTCTCTTTGCTCTGTGGAAAGGCTCACACCACCCCATCACCCAGGCCGGGGTCTCGGGCCCCCGAAGGCGAGGAACCTAACACCAAGGCCCCACGGCTCCTGCGCCTCTCACCCAGAAGATCAGAGGCGAGTAGCAAGTAACCTCGGTAGCACATCCTCATAGCGTAGTGGGGATAACAGAACGCGAAGTCAAACGCGCGTTCCAGCAAGCGACTGAAACAGCGTCCACCTTGCCTACTTCTCCCTTTCCCGAGAGGTCCACAGAGCAGCACGTTCTAACAAAATAGCATCTGGCTCATCCACGTATTCCCCACATAGACAAACATGAGGTTAGCTGGCCTGACTCAAGATGAGCATTGCACAAACCCTAAGGACCTTCAAGATAGACTATGCATCTTTAACCTCAATACAGAGCGAAACTTCCAGAGCGAGCCAGCGGTGCTCCACGGATCCTCTGGGCTGCTTGTTGGATTCTCGAAGCAGGATTAAGGTGTCTGGATTGCAAGATCCTACCTGGGGGGAGCTCCACTTCCCTTCATCAAAGACATCCCCCAGAATGAAGACGACTTCCGGCTCCAACAACCACAGAGCGGTCTGGAAGGCTCTCTCCATTTGCCATTCCCTGGGGCCAGGAGGAAAAAGCAGAGCATCAGTCTCTTTCCTGCCCGTTCTCCTCGTGACCCTGCTCTTGCATTCCCACCCCCCGCCTGGAGGGGCCAGTGAATCTGTGTCTGACTAAATGTGGGGAATTGGGGTGCGGAGGGGCTACCCTCCCACACGCCTTACACACGGACGTGCACTACGCTGGCCCGACGCCGCGCCCCGAAGCCGTCTCAGTCAAGAGAGTCCTAGGGATCCGAGAGCCTGACCTGCGCAGCTTCCAGAGGTGCCTAATTTAGACCGATTTTGCACCACACCGAGGAAATGACAGCATCTGGCTTAAACTCCTCTGCTTAAAGGGACCTCAACTTCCTTCTTTGCTTCAGAGTGGAGGGAAGACAGTGAGAGAAATAGACTAGCCAGTATCCAAACAGTAGGCCCTGCAGATTTCAGACATGCAGTAATCATCCCAGAGGTCGGACGGGCAAACAAACAGAGCCTGGGATCTGCAGTCTCACAGGCAATGGCTTCAAATCCCAGCTCTGTCTGTTGACGAGCTGTGTGGCCTTGAGAATGTTACCTACCCTCTCTGCGTCCCAGTTTATTCACTAGTAAATGGGGATTTAAAAAAAAAAAACCTACCTGCAAAGGATAGTTGTAGGATTAACTAAGATAATGTTTATAAAGTTCCCAGCACAGCACGAGCACACAGTAGGTGCTCAAAAATGTCCATGTGTGCTCAGCCCTTCCTCCCTTCTCCCTAACCAGCTCCGGCCCGCGCCATTTTCCTAGGGATCCTGGATCTTCCCTCTTCGTAAAGGCTCCTCCAGGCTGCTTCTCCTCTACACGAGGGAGCTCCGCGTTCTGGGACGCGGTGACACAAACAGGGAAGGAACTTTCCAGTCGGAGGAAGCTCTCCAGACCCTGGCGAACCACCGCGTGCCCACGTCGCTGCTCCATGGCTGTTCACTCAACAGAACTCTCAAAGTATGTTTCTCAGTTTTGCTTGATTTAATGCTATTCGCCCTGGCAGAGAACGAACCCAGACACGCAGCGGCAGGAAGGCGCAGGTGAGGGTGGATTTGCAAGGCCCGGACGCCCAGGCTCACCCTGGCGCCCTCAGCTCACACCCTTTGCTTTAAAACTCTGGGTAAAAGGCCTGGCAGCCCCTCCCTCCTTCCTCCTCTCTTCCTGCCTCCCTCCCCCACCCCTGGGGACAGCACACACCCCACGCCCCAATGTCAGGTTCACCAGGTCACCGCACTCTGAGGACAGGGCCTCTCACAAAATAAAGACGTGTTCAGAGAGGCACGGTGCAGCCACGTTAAGGAAAAGGGGTCAGGGGTCAGGGTCGCCGGGGGCAAGGAGAGCCCCACGGACGCCTCCTGCTGGGCACCGGCCGGAAGCCCAGAGTGGGAAGCGCCAGGCGCTCATCCGAGGCGAAGGGACGAGCAGAGCGGCTGTGCCCACCAGGGCGTGTGGCTCAGCCCTGAAAAGGAGGCAAGTTCTGCCACAGGCACAGCACGGACGACCCTGGAGGACACTGTGCTGCGTGAAGCGAGCCAGTCACAGAAGGACAAATCCTGCCTGATCCCACCCATGCGAGGTCCCAGAGGACTCAAAGTCACAGAGACAGCAGCAAGCAGCACGGTGGGAGCGGGGCCTGGGCGGGAGAAGAAGTGGGCGTTTAACGGGTGTAGAGACGGACGGTGGCGAATGTGCCTAACGCCCCTGAGCTGCACACTTAAACATGACGAAGATGACGAACTTTACACTGTGTGTATTTTACTGCAAATAAAAATAATTAAACTGTCCAAAAATGAAACATGAAAAAAAATAATTAAAAAACAAAGACGCTTTCTGGTGGGAAAACAGAGGGACCACTCTGGGGCTGGTCTGAGTTGGAGACACAGGACTTGACCCTCCCCGGGGGGACGGCCACAAATCTGCTCTGCCCCTCTGCTGCCCAGAGCCGGGTAAAACGCAAAGGGCTTAAAGTCACACACCAGCAAAGCTGAGGGGCCCAGGAACCCAGGTCTGCGTCCTCCCGGGACCAGGCCCAGGTGCTAGGCCCTGCATGCCACCTCCACACACCTGGGAGGCTCCTTCTCTTAAGCTGCTCACAGGCGAGGAGGCGGGGCTTGGAGAGGCCCTGGTAACTTTTCAAAGTCACAAAACTAATCAGGAGCCCAGGTCTGACTCCCACATGATGGGGCCCTGTATATGTGTTCAGTAAATAGAAAGTTCAAGGAAAACTCAAATGCTCACAAATGTCCTTCTTTGAGAGGAAAATAACTAAGAGTTACCTAAAGCCATTAAGCCTGAACTGTGGGGGGAGGGCTATACCTTTTTGCCTGCAGAATTTCAGAAGGATTCCCGATTTTACTGCTCACCTTCGTAACTTGTCTAGCCAGTGGCCTCTGATTTCCCCAAGCAAGTGGGGGTCTGCCAAAAACATGGCTCTCAACACAGGCTCAGAAGTCGCTTGTTTACCATCGTAGGCTGGAGTGTTCACCTCAGGCCAATCACACCGCGAGATCACTAAGTAATAGACTAAATATTCACAAAACAGAAGCGCAGCAAAGACAACGGCTACGAGTTTCAACAGCAACGAACTCCTCCTCTTTAACGGACGAAAATTCCGCCTTCCGAACCCCAGTGCGGTCGGAGCCATTTCTCCTGCCCAGGAGTTGCCAGCAACTAAGAGTCAAATCCGTCAAGAAGTCAGCATGAGAAAACCGTAGGACCTGGGTAGAGTGGAGATGGCATTCAGGTCTTAGCCGTGTACCTGCAGGGAAAAGGAAAAGAACTCGGTTACGCTCCTTCATAAAGCCGCACCCTCCCTCCCTCTACTAAGAACCAGTCAGGTACAGAATCCTGTCCACACTCACACACACACACACACACACACACACACACACACACGGCCGCATACTGTCACGATGACAGCGCCCCGATCACTGACAAGGAAGACAACTGACCCCTTTGAGGTCTCCACACCTCCATACGATAGAACAGTGCCATTAGAATGACTTCCCACTGAGACGATGCTTTAATACTCTAGAAATCAACAAATAGGAACGCATCTGAAGGATGTGTGTTAAGAGAAGACACATAAATGGGAAAATTCGACAAACACTGTGTAAGTGTAATTCACCTTCCAGAATGACCCACCACCCCACAACCTTAAAAGTCCGCAGGCTGTAAGCCCTCGGTAATATGTTGCCTTTGGTGGGAATTCATCACTTTTCAACTCTGCTTTTCTACAAAAACAATGAATATTCGTGGACGGTGTGCTGCAAGCATCCAAGGAATTCATTCCACACTGGACCTGGGTCAGGACCCGACAGAGCAGCCACCATCTGTGAATGGGAATATTGAACATGCAACCACTTTATATATGTTTCCACAAAAATGGGTTTTGCCCTGCAAAGTAGCCTTGAAGCTCTGGATGGCTTCCTTTGTAAGACGTTGATGTGCACTGGCTTCCCCATGGGAACCTTCTGAATGTTTGTGGATTCATCCTGAATCGTAGGTGAGCTTTGCATCCTGTAGAGGAAGCATCTGTTTTTGAGGTCTCTGAAGGGAAAGGCTGGTAAACGGCTGCCCTGATGCAGGCGTCAGAGGCGGTGTTCTACTTCCGGTTGCTCAACTTGTGCTCAAGATGACAGCCGCAGGAGGACAGTGATCTTCCCAGGGGGCTACAGAGACCTCAGGTATCAGAGAAGCCCTTGAAGTCTTACAGGGATGGGGGCTATGGGAGACGCTTTCCAGAGTCCCTAATTGAGCTAATAAAGAAAAAATGTGGCCAGCGTGGTGGCGCATGCCTGTAGTCCCGGCACTTTGGGAGGCTGAGGCAGGAGGATTGCTTGAACCCAGGAGTTTGAGGCTGCAGTGAGCTATGATCATGCCACTGCACTCCAGCCTGAGTGACAGAGCCAGACCCTGTCTCTTAAAACAAGAAAAAAAGAAAAAAAGAAAAGAAAAGAGAAATGAAAAGAAGAAAGGAAAAGAAAAGAAAAGGAAACCCTTTTCTGGAGAGATGATTTTCTAACATGAATCCAGGAACTTCGTATCATTCATGGGCGTGGAGTCGAGAACATTCTCCCTTCCACAGGCTCTACGATAATCTCTGTGAAATGCAGGCTGCTCACCTCTGCACGTGGAAATTAAGAATAAGCCCCAGTCCTGTACGAGTCCCTAGCTTGGGTCACAGTGGGGTTCTATACTAAGCAGCCACAAAGATATGGAAAAATTTTAAACCTTACCTAAAGAAAAATAAATGGGGGTGAACATATACTTTGAGCCATCATCAAAAGTTTAAAACTTAACCAAAAAGCGGGAAATACCTTCAGAAACCAATAAATGAGGAAACGTTTTCGGGAGTATTCAAACGGAGCGTTGGAGCGTCGGTGGCCCTGTGCTAGACCATCAGCACCCTCCGCGTTTGCTGCTTCTCAGATGAAAAGCGGGGAGGGGGAGGGGGACGGCCCGGGGCTGTGGCCAGGCTCTCCCCACGCCTCTGTCTAAGTAGAATGACATCACCTATATTAAGTGCTTGCTTAAAAAGGCAAGCAAATGCTAGATTTTAAGTATGTCCTTTCAGATAGAGAGGTCAGAGGCAGCCCTGCCTGCACTCTGGAATCGCCTGCTCTTACTGGAATTCTCCTCGGAAAACCCACACCCTCGTCAGCCGGGCCGGCCCCTCAGTGGTCACGTGCTGTCCCTCCTCCTCTTCACTTAGAAGACCTGCTTTCTCTAAGGTCACACCACATGTGCCACATAACCAGATTCACCAGATACCTTTAGCTTCCAACTGGGGACATCTTCCAGAGTGAAAAGCGGCACTAATAAAAAAACAAAACAAAACAGGACAATGGCGCAAACCAGGACTGTCCCGGGCAACTCAAGACAGGCGGCCACGCGGTGGACTCCACCCTGTACCGCCCACGCTTGCTCCGCACAGACAGGAGAAAGCAGCAATGCCTGTCTGTCACCCACCTGCTCTGTAGCCAGACTTGGGAGGACCACATGGATGCCGTCAGTGACCACGCACCAGCGTGGCTAACAGGGCGGACTCTGCCTGGCTGACACTCGCAAGAGAGAAAAGAGACTCCAGGGAATAACGACTATTTCCTTAACGCCTCCCAATTTCCTTTGTTATGATTAAATAAAAAATATCAACGGTAAATATTTGATCCTAATCTTTTTCTTTCAAAAGAACTAGAGTCTCTGAAAATCCTAAAAGCTAAGCCCAAAACAGCAGTTGAAACTTGCTAAAACCTTTGCTTCCTCCAACTGTAGAGGACCACTCGAGAGGGGAGGCTCGTCCAGTGTGTGAGCCTGGGCTGCCTTATGGGTCCCCGGGTCCCCAAGATGAAACGCCAGGGTGACAGCTGTCGGCTGCTCTCCTGCACCCACTCCTGTTCATCAGACAGAAGCTTGCTTGGGCAGCCATGACTGTTACCAGCTCTGCAAACAAATTTCAATGACCCCTGCATGTTTTTTTATAATTCTCTCCCTTAACTAACTATTATACTGGACCTTTTGAGTTGTTTCCCAGAAACATAGATTTTCTGCAAGAGGAAGGAGCTGAGATTCTGAACGCCCCTGGGCAGCCTTCCTGACCTAGCTGCTGGCATCTCCCTTCTTTCTTTGGGATGCCGCGCCGTCTCTCCGCTCTCTTTCCCACCCCTCCTTCTCATTCTCTTGTCTGTCTAAAGGATAAAATAAATTTTGCTTATCTGACTTAATCTCTGTGTGAGAAATCTGTCTCCGCCCGCAGAGACATGAGCACTGCGGGTTTCCTGCCCTGACACAGGAAGCAGCCGCGAGGGCTGGGCGGGCCGCAGACAGGCCGGCAGCCCAGCGCCGGGTTCAGGGGCGGATGGGACGCAAAACTGCAGTCCTCTGGCTGCCCGGGACCAAACGAGCAGGCCGAGGACACAGAGACCGTCCAGGGCTTGCGCTTCCAGGGAACCTGAGCCCACACCGCCCTGCCCCCCGCACGGCGGGCCCCCTGGCGCTGCGGGCGCCAACAAACCAAAGGTTGGGGGAGCTCTGGCCCTTCCCGCAAACTTCTGTGTTCTTCTTGCAGAAAAGAAATTAAAAATATCCTACACAGAGCCATTCGACCAGAAGAGGAGTTGGAAGGAAAGGAGGGAGTGATGTACGGTGAGCAGAACGGGAAGGTCGAGAGCCCGAGTGCAGCCGCTTCGGCCGATACCTGACCCCAACCACCCTGAACGAGGAAGTCGCCGGCAAGCGCCAGGCCGGGACCCCTCAAGATGGACGAATTACGAAGCCAGATGCGCATAAACTGTTTGTGCTCACCCTTCCGTGGCAGCAGGTTATGATTAACAGTGCTGGTCACATACGGGATTTTTGAACATTTAAAAACATTACCATTGCCCCGCGGGGTGTCCCCGTCCTGCTCGGAGAGGACCCTTACTCTATGGAGTAGGATCTGTTGTCTCTGTCTCAATCAAACTTTCCTATAGCTAGCTGGCTCACTCTTGGATTTAAGCCATTCACATTAAAATAATGTAGAGACACAAGGTATAGAGATCAAAGTCTGATTTTTATGAGAGTACACACAGAGCCAGAAGCTAACCAGCCATTGTTCCCTAACATCCTGGCTGCTGTAACTGGTCACTACTTAACGGCACCGTCCTCCCTGACAGGTGCAAGATTTGTGACTCCTGCCCCCGGCCCCCCACTTCGACAGAGAACACTGCTGTTGTAAATCTTAAGACTGGAATTTGAGGTATTTTTCAGACTCTGCATTCCAGGGGGACCCAGCCAGACCCGTGCATAGGTGTGGGAATGGATCCAACAGCCCTGAGACCCCCTGCCCTGGGAACCTCCCAACTGAGAAGGTAATTTCTACACCCCAACCCTATGAGCTCATCCCCCGCCAATCAGCAGACCCAATTCCCTAGCCCTTTGTTTGCCAAACCACCTTTAAAAAACTTAGCCCCCAAATTCTGGAGGAGATGGATTTGAGAAGTTACTCCATCTCCTCGCCCGGCGCCTTGCAATAGTAACACTCTCCGCCGCGAGCCCTGCTGTCTCACCGCACTGGCCGTCATCGGGTGGTAGGCAAGGGACCCCGCCGGCTATAAAGAATTCTTTCCCAAGAAGTCAAAAACCCACTTGTCAAGGCCTTTCCTCCCTTCACTGGGACACCCCCTGCATCCGGAGGGAAGAGAGAAAGGAAAGAAGAGGGAAGGAAGGAGGACGGGGAGAGACAGGGCAAGCGCGAGCTAGCGGGGCTGCTACACACGGCCTCGAGAAAACCCTAACACCGTGTGAATGGGCTCTCTGGTATAACGTGATCATTTTTAAAACAACAGAACCATATTTAGAAAACTTCTAACACCAGATCCTTAAACAGAATTCCTTTTCCTCAAATCTTGGGAAACTTCTTTTTTCTTCTACCTAAACTGTATTGAATTAGTATTCCCAAGGCTGTCTCCAATGTTATGGCCAAAACATTCCCACTTCTTCCTCCTGAAATGAAGACAGAATAATCTGTAGAGCTAATGGGGTGGAGGAAGGGACCACTCTCCCTAGAAATGCCACCAGCAAGGCCATCGCACCACTCAGAGCCACTCATTCGGTGATGTCACTCCTACCCGATGGCTGCTTCCCAGCGGTACACAGTGACCTCATTTCACTCGCTTCCAGGGGAAGCCTGACTCCAGCCATGGCCACCAAGCCCTCCTCATTCCTGTCACAGCTGAAGGAAACCTGCCGACGGCCAGCAACTGGGAGGCCTGCAGACCTCCCAACCCTGGGCAGACCTGTGCACATGGAGCCCCACCTTCTTGGCAGGAAAGAGGAAGATATAAGAGCTCTAGGGGGCATTAGCCACTTGTCAAATATTTTATCCTACATGCTCTGAATATCCAGCCGCACAGAAGCAGCTATGCTGAACTGGAAAGAATCCAAACAGCAGCTCTGCTCTGTGACTTTGGGCAGCCCACAGTGCCTGTCTCAATGTGATGACTGATAGAAATAATGCAAATAAAAGTGCTATGTTTTTTTTTTTTTTGAGACAGGGTCTAGCCCTGTTGCCCAGGCTGGGGTGCAGTGGCATCATCACGGCTCACTGCAGCCTCCAACTCCTGGGCTCAAGCAATGCTCCTGCCTCAGCCTCCTGAGTAGCTGGGACAATAGGCACCCACCACCACACCTGGCTAATTGTAAAATTTTTTTGTAGTGATGAGATCTCGCTATATTGCTCAGGCTGGTCTCAAACTCCTGGGCTCCAACAATTCTCCAGCCTTGGCTCCCTGAAGTGCTAGCATTATAGGCATGAGCCACTGCATCCAGTCAAAAGTGCCATCTTGAAAAAAGTAAATCCTCCTATGAGGTAAGCACGTCAGAATCAGATGTGAAGGTAAAACTTGGCATTCAGTAAGTCCCCATAGGCTCGATGCAATGATAGTCAATTCAAAGAGCCGTGGTCGGATTAGGGAGAACGAAGACGGCAGAAAATAAAAGCCAATAACCGAAGAGAAACTGGAGGCCGTGGCCCTCTCGGCCTCGTGCCCAGTTCTCTCCACTCACTCACTGGGCTGTGCTGAGTCACCATCCCCCTTCCTCACTAAAAGCGAACCTCACATTTTATCTCAACCACAATAAATAGGCACATAGCCCGAATAAGTGAATGCTACTATCCCCTCCAAGTCCTGGCTCCTAAGGTGAAAGGAGAAAAAACGTGTTCTTCCTTAGACTACGTGAGCAGGAGTCTGGTGCTTCATCAGAGGAGTGGGGGCACCGCGCCCGAGCCCAGGGTGCCCGTCCCCTCTGCTCACTCAGTACGTAACGGAAAAACGTGTTCAACCATCTTGTACCACTAGACTGCAAAAATACGAAACATGAGGCTTGGATAAGGTCTATATTCCATGTGGTTGTCCTTCCTGTGATTTAATGATGAAAAATTCTGTCCATATTCGGAGCTTTCCTTTGCATTAGCAGGTTCGGGTTTAAAAATCAAAATTAGTAGCGGGGCACAGTGGCACACGCCTATAATCTCAGCTACTTGGGAAGCTGAGGCAGAAGGATCACTTGAGCCCAGGAGTTCAAATCCAGCCTGGGCAACAGAGCAAGACTTGGTCTCTAAATAATCAAATAAATAAAGCCAAAATTACTTAAACTGTTACTGTTTTCCCTCCCTAAATTCAGTTTGTCAGTTTTATTATCAACTGGAAACCCAGCAGGAACACTACACAGCTTCCACATATAGTTCAGGCTGTCCTAGGATCCGAAGGTAGACACACATGTCTCTGGAACCCCCAGCAGTGACAGTAAAATAAAAGGACTAGGTTAGACACTATCTGTGATTTTCCAGGAGAATCACTGAGTCACCTCACCTTTCACAGACTTCGTGCTGCTGGTGGACCAAGACTCGTAAGAAGGCTGTGCGTTGGCGTCTGCTCCCTCAAATCAGAATGTGTTTATCTGAAATATTAAATAAAACAGAAAATGTGTGATTTGTTGCTGAATGATCTTTCATTTAGTGACCTAATAACAAGTAACCTGACCAACCTTGAAAGTAAAAAAGCTGAGAAGCTAAAGAAAAATGACATCGTGGCCGGGCGCGGTGGCTCACGCCTGTAATCCCAGCACTCTGAGAGGCCGAGGCAGGCGGATTGTTTGAGCTCAGGAGTTTGAGACCAGCCTGAGCAAGAGCGAGACCCCGTCTCTACTAAAAA